AACCCACCAAAAAGAACAACGCTCATGTGGAGATTGGACACAATGACAAGAAACAGACCTGCCCTAGAACCGCTCAACCGGAACGAACCCGAATCCGCCCCGCCCGGAACCCGCTTCGGAACCTCACCCGTAGCTGGCACCTGGAACCCACTTCGCAACATGTCCGGAAGCCTGACCGGAACGCCCGGAACCTCCCCCCGGAACCTGCCCCGGAACTCACCCCGGAACTGGTCCCGGAATCCCAAAACCTGTCCGGAACCCTCCCCGGAACCCGCCCCAGGCCTTGCCCCAATCTGCCCCAAACCTTATTTCGGCTGACGATCCAAGAGCTCACGCTGAACTTTCTCCCATTGCAGTCAAGTCGTGGGGAGCACCACCCCGAACGGAAAAAACGTTTGAAAATGCATCTAGCATGCCCTCACCTCTAGCAACTCCAGCCATCTTGAATATTGAATCCCGAACCAAAAACCCTAAAGCTGTAAACTCGACGCCTCCCCCCAAGACACTTCAATCAAAGCCCCAAGACAGGCAAAAAGTCGATGCCTGGTCCTTGGGCATTGGGCAATGCCACCTCGATAGACTGGTCGCCTGGGAGATGCACAACAGTCCTACCACTGCGGGATATCACTCCACCGCACACTGTAAACACCTCGGATCCCGACCACCGCTACGACAGGGATCACTGCGGCAACTATTGGCAAGCATCCGCCATGACTCATTCTCAACTGATTTTGGCTTTGGCTGCCTGTGCTTCTTTGGAAACCGCTGCAGCAGTTTCACCATCTTGTTTGTCACGGCGGGGGCTGGCATCCCACCAGCGGCACGGGCCGAGCAAGAGACATCATAAAAGAGTGCACCTGTACTAACAAACATAAGATGGCTACAGCAACAGAAACGACACACATTGAATAACCTCTGTGCGTGCTGCTCTGTGTCATGTTTCTTCAATATGCAGATCAGCGAACAGACCCCACGTGTTGTTCATGGCCAGCTTGAACATCTCAGTTTTATCGGAAATTTGTTGAAAGGCCTCTGTGAAAGCCCACAACTTTCCGAGCGACTTGTGCAGTCCGAGTCGCCGAATTTTGGAGATGCGCACCAATGCAGTCTCAGACTGCACCCTTCAGCTGCAGCGTCCTGCACACGCAGGTTCCGGCGAGGGCTGACGAGCACGGACTGACTAGAACGTGCACGGACAAACCAAAGGGCACCAGCAGGAACATGCGACCACCCAGAAAAGGGTGTTGCATGTTTTCCCTCTCGCTCAGCCGAATGGGTGTTCAGTGTTGACTAGGAGCCCTAATTTCCATCCTTGCGAAGTCGCCGATGGGCAGGTATAGACACTTGCCCGCCCGTGTGGTTTAACAGGCTTCCTAGATTCTTGCGAGATAGTGCTCATCGCTTCTGCAGAATTGCACGTGCGGGTCGGCTGAGCCTGGGCCGCGGCCTTCTGGACTCGGCCAATACCAGGCAGGGAAATCCCTGAAGTTGCACCTCAAAGTGCTGGCAGCATTGCATACAACGTTAAAGTCGTTAAAGGCACAAAAAGAAGCGGAGCATGCACGACTTCTCAAAGCCCATAACGACTACACAAATACTCAATTTCACTGTATCACGCAGGATGGCACGTGAACCTGACACTTTACACAGCTTCTCCACGTGCCAAAGGCGCTTGTATGCGGGAGTCCTGCCGCATTTCAGGGCATCAGCCACGTTCTGCGTCTGCAGGATGGTACAAGTTCCACTTCCACTTCCACCCTGGCAAACAGTGGCAGCCGACAGTTTATGTTTCTGCCCTCCGCTGCGGTGCTTTGTTTGAAGCCCCCCTGCCTGCTTGACGATGACATGAACGACGCCCGCCGGGCCTATCCTCATCACAAGCCATGCCATGACAGAAGAGCGGTGCGGCAGCACATCCTGCCAAGAGACGCATCCTGAGTGTCGAGGAACCTGAGGTGAGAGCGGAGTAGGTAGCTGGAAATCTTCCTCGCCGCTCGTATGCCAAGTGGCTGCTTCAGCGAAGAGTCCTCCTTTGCAGGCAGCTGGACACAAACGAAGGACTCGGATGTCACTGGCTCCAATAACGGCTAATCCTTGTAGCACCAGCCGAATGCAATGCTCAGCGATGGCGTCGCGTGCGTGAAAATGGCGATGTTGCCTGCTCCAGCTCGAACACCCGGGCTCGAAAGAGGACGCAGCCAAAGAAGAAAACACGAGGATAGGTTGAGGCTTGACGTCACAAGACGCAGGGTCTGCGGTGGCGGCAGGCGCGAGTTCCTTAAACGAGCACACAAGCTCCCGTGCGGGCTGGCCTGTGGAAGGCGGGAACCGCGCCTGCTCAGTTTGAACCGTCATGGTTTGCAGCCTGAGGGTAAACCTAGAGCTGCGTCAACTGCCACTAGCAGACTGGGACTTGGGCTCTGCAACAGAACGGCCTGCCTTCAGCGTTCGCGCTGCCTCAACAACTCTCTGCACATAGAGAGTGTCATTCTCCTGACAGGAGAAGCTTGGAAACGCCACCAGCAAGCCCAGGCTGCACGGAATAAGTTTCCGCCGATTTCCACTGTTTTCCGTATGATCCCGCATGTTTCCCTGCGTGCCCGGCTCCGGCGTCTTGATCGAGGCTGCACCGTAGCGCCAATCCCACCGTGCGCCGCACTCCGACAGGTCACGGACCTGACAGCAGAGTCGACCAGCACAGCCGTCACAATCTGTTGGCGAAGATTGAGAGAGGTGGGATCACCAGTTGCGACAAAGCAGCAGTCTCGCCCGGAGCGTCGGCGTTGAAAGCCCGGAAGGCGCCGCTGTCTTGGCGTGCCTACCCATCCCGTGTCTGCCAGGAGTTTGCGGGCAAGGAGCTGGGCTCAAGACACAGGGCTTAGATGGGATCTGGACCACGCCTCGGACAGGAGTGGCTCCACTTTCAGCTGCTGGTTCAGTGCCTCCCAATGCCAAAGTAAGGGGAACCACATGGAACGACGCTGCTGCCTCTGCCAGGGGCAATGCGGTCTGCAAAGTCCGGGTGAAAGGCGACACGAGAACATTGTCAATCCGGGCGTGCTGCTGGAGCCAGTCCTGATGTTTTACACACGAAAGCGAGCCGACAGGCAAGGGGGAAAGCACGGACAGTCAGAAAATGCCGGCTGCGGCTGAAACCTCCGAAGACCATAATTGCTAGTTCGCCCAGACTCTGACGTATATCTTGCCTGTTGTCTCCCACAGGGGGTGAGCGGAGGGTTGTTGCCCATCACCTATCCACACAGACACCCAGACAAAATGCGCGCAGCAGAACAGACTGCCTTGGCATCAAAGCAGATGTCGTCGGTGGTCTCGTCACAGGGCGGGTAGCCTGACCCAACGAAGTCCCAACGAAGCGTGCAGTTGCGCGAGCAGAAAGCAGCCCCCTGCTTGCAGAGGAGGCTCTGCTATACTTGTCGCCATGCCTGCATGCGCACAGATGCGCACAGTTGACACCGGCCTGTAATTGGCGGGGACAGCTCTGGAGAGGCGCCTGACGATGTAAATATGTTGCTCTGTTGCCCAGAACCATGCAGGCCCATCCAGGGAGAAGACGGAAACAAAGAGGACAGCGCCAACGCCTCCAGGCACCGACCCTTGCACCATCTCAGGGAGCGGGGCGGCAGGTTGCCATCAAGCCGTGCCTGTGGAAGCGAGCCCAAGCCGGCTCAGGCGACGTTCAGAGGGAACCATGGCCATGGCTGCATAAGAACGACAAGACACGGCGGGGATGCCCTGATGAACGCGTGTATTGAGTGCTGCAGGTGCAGGTGTTCACGTTCGCACCGTTGTGCGGCTACTTCAGTTTCTTGGGGAGGTCCTTGAGCTCCAACAGCCCCAACACTCAGCCGCGGAAGGGTCGACTCCAGAACCGAAAGACCTTAAAAGTCTGCTCGAGCACTGGCAAGCCTGGAAAGCGGGGGTTGCACCTGCAGTCATTGGGCTCTCCATGGATTCAGCACAGAACCGCGCACTAGCCCAGGGCCTGGAGGCAGCTGGTTGTCGCAAATGAGTTTCATCTGTGGCGCCCCACTGTCCTCATAAGACACAGCCCGACAGACACAGGCGCAGAAGCACGAAAGAGCTCGAATCCGAAAGCCAGCCGTCCTCCGAGCTGAAATCCGTGACTTGGATCTGACCCTTCGCTTCCAGGATGGATTTTCCTTTCCTGAACATTCCAACGTCTGGATTGACCACGGGGCATAGCTCCTCAGGCACTCTGTCAGTGTGCAGCAGAGCGGCTCGATAGGCTGCTCCACCTTCCAGTCCTGCCGAAGCTAATTGGACGCTTTTCTTCCGTGGCGCTGACTCGGCGCTGAGGGCCGAGCCAGATCGATCCTGAGCTCGAAGATCGGCTGGGATTTACCACCTGCGCAGCTAGCAAAAAGTGCTGCACGGGCACTCAACATTATGCAAAAGCCCTGCGCCGCCTTTCATCGCCAAGGCACAATCGCCTTTTGTCTCGACGCGAAAGAAGCCTCAGAAAGTCGGGGAGTTTTCTTGAGCATGGCGCCGCAGGCAAGAACCATGCAGCCACGGGGCTCATTGTGGCACCTTCCGTGCCCTCCAGCGGGATCTGAGTCTCCTTGAAGGTTTTCCTGGTCCCGGAAGCATCTACTAATCTACTAGCCCTGCCGCCCAGAAATAAACTCCTCCCACCCACGAGACTATGAGAGACGTTTCTTTTGCCTTTCGGGGCCGAGGCGCTCCAGGAACTGCTTTGCCCATTCGTCGCGGTTCTTCTCATCCCACGCCATGGTGCGGCTTCGAGCTCTAAGAAAATGCTATTGAAAATGGCGGGTGTCGGGCTCTTTCGGGCTCTTTCGTGGCCGGGGCAAGGAAACTCGAGCCTGGGACCGGGTGCACTGATCATGTTCTGTACAGTACATAAAAGATGCCCAGATACTGGGGGGATGATGAACACACTCAAACATCTTAAACATCTGAGGCTTGTATCGCTGGGCGCCCAAACTTCAACGCGATGCAGCTTCCCAACATCAACCTCTCCTTCTGTGCAATAACTCAAAACAGGACCAACCATGTACAACCACACATCGCGCTGCACGTGCGCGCGCACACACACACACACACGCACGTACACGCGCGCGCGCGCATCCATCCATCCATCCATCCATCCATCCATCCATCCATCCATCCACCCGTCCGTCCATCCATCCGTCCGTCCGTCCGTCCATCCATGCATCCATCCATGCATCCATGCATACGTGCATATTCCTCTATAGGTTAGACCTACATAATGTGTATATATGTGTATACGTACATATAGATCTGTTTATACACACATATGTACATATGTATGTATATATATATATATAGATACACATATATATATATATAGAGAAAGAAAGAAAGAAAGAAAGAAAGAAAGAAAGAAAGAAAGAAAGAAAGAGAGAGTGTGTGTGTGTGTGTTGGGTTTATTATGCACATTGCTTGTGTTTATCCGTGTTTGTGTGTTTACAAAGCACCACTAAGCCGTCGAGCGCTCGCAAGGCGCACCCCCTCTACCGGTTGGTTTCCATCCACCTTGCATCGTCTGAGTTACGTATACTGAGAGGCTTCAGCCGGTCAGTCACACGAGTCCGAGTAAAGCAGCAGTAGCAGATAAGTATCTTCAATGCAGAAGCTGAGTGTGGGTCCAGCTCAAAGTGGTAAGAGTCCAAAGACAAGACGGTCGCCTTCTCTGACTGTACCACAACGGTCCTGCAAGCTTTGTCGGGGTGAGCCAATGCAGGTCTGGTCTCTCACGCCAAGAGCCAGAGCCTGGTTGCTGGAACATTCTCACTCAGCTGCTTCTCCCCAATCCTGGGGCTTCTCGAAAATTCTAAGGCTGACTGACAGAGACTTCGTCAGCTCTTGGCTTCAAGTTGCTCGTGTGCCAACAGCTATCCACATCTCGCAAAGTCCGCCAGTTGCACACGAAGCGGCCAGTCACCCTTCATCAGGCCTTTCTTCCCCTGAACAGCTCGAGTCTGCTCAGGGCGGAACTTGATGGAAATTTCTGTTCGCGTGAGCAGTCACAGGTTTCTCGGGCCTCGTCTTCTGGGTCGGCGTCGGTGACTGAACAAAAGCCTGGAAACTCGCAGAAGCTGCAGAGCCAAGCTTTGGACAACTGCTCGACCAGCGAAACCAGAATCCTAAGAATCTCGCCGCTTGTGATCAGAAAGAGAATGCCCTCATCCTCACCTCGACAGCATTTGAATCGGTCTAGCGCGACTCGCGGAACCGCGAGTCGCAACGACGCGAATTTAGCGACGCTTTCCCCAGGTTGTTTTTCAGCCGCAGTTGCCAACAACGAGCCGAGGCCGGGCCCATGGCCCCGCACGCAGAGGAAATCCTCCTTCTCCAGGACCGTCTCCTCGATTCTCAACTCTCAGTCGCTACCCAGCCTCCTCCGTGTCATCAGCCCACCCGGAGTAATGCACCTCGAGGGCACCTGCGAGGACCGACAAGAGTGCCAGGTCCACCTCATCGAGGAAAATCGCCACATGTGCACGCACTCTCTGCATGCTTGGAATGCACTTTACGGGATGTTGGTGACTTCCCAGTGCCATCCTTGCACCCAAGTGCCTGGTCTCGGATGATCGGCACCTGATGGAGCATCATGCTATGCCTGAGCTCTCGGGGTTCGAAATAGATCATCGCAACTCCTACTATGAATTCTCCATTTGGGGCAGGTGCTCCTTAGCCTTCAACACGGCCGTGCTCTGCAAGATTTCCTGCATCCGGCAAAGACCACACAAGTTTTTTTCAGGGCCTCCCAGCTGCCACTCTCTCGCCTTGAACGTGGTGCGCGGCAGCACCCAAAGCCTGCGCAGAAGCGAGAAGCTTAACTTCGTCGCCTCTTGCTACATTGCACTTACGTGCACGAGGACTGAACTGAAATTCTCTCCCTGCCGTTGCATCCAGGGGTTTAGCAATCCATATACATGCCACTTACCAGCACAAGCAAATCCTCGATGTTGTTTGTTCACTGTCATTCGTAGTCAAGTGCCTGTTCCCGCTAGGACTACACTTCCGCAGCGCTACCACTATATCATATATTTGTGCAACTGCTGCCGCTCAGAATCATGAGTATCATCATGGCACCACCACCACCAGCAGCACCACTACCACCACCACCACCACAGACCACGAGCACGGGCGACGACGACTACCTCCCCGCCGGTGCTGCGAACATTGACATGATCATCAGTGTCACAGTGTTCCTGTATCTGGCAAGGAATGGGTCGAGGCATACATGTTCAGGACCATCATTGTCTGCCGTCCCCTGAAGAACGATCCTGGTCATGGCTTCCTATCACGAAGCTGCACTCGCTGCCGCCTGCAGTCGCGTGTGGCTTCCACTGTTGCCTTCAGGGACTCCGGCTCTGAGGCCACAAGCGCCCAAGAAGTCCCCCTCCCGCCGTGCGAGGCTCGTCGTAGAGCAGGGCCAGCTCTCCAAACGTATCACCAATGCGCAGCCTCAAGGTCCCGACAAGTCGCTTAGCACCGCTCTGCGGCCGTGGGAACCCGACACCACTTCAAAAGTCACCAAATCTACCTGGCATGCACGCATGCACGAGTCACGAGTTGCATGTCAGCTCCAAGGAATCATGCCCTGGCCTTGAGCAAGCCTTCCTGTACAACGAAAAGTGCGGTACCCAGATCTCCTTTCCTGACGCCAGGGATTCCCGATGCAAGTTCAGTGGTTCCAGGAGCTCAATCCCAACATGTGCACAGCACATCAACTGGGGCATGCAACTTGAAGACATTGGTTCCACTCGGAACCTCCGGGGCTAGACCGTTTCTGTGGAGTCCGAGCTGCACGGCAGCGCTCCAAGTCCGGCCACTCGGACGGTCCGGGTGCAGAGTCCGGACCACCTTGCCTCGATCAGGTGGGTCCCATTCACGACCTGGTCGCACTGCTCCTCTGTGAGGCCGACGACCTGCAACTGTGAGCAAGCCATGCAAACTCCGAACACAACACCCCAACAGAAAGCTCTCCTCGAGCACCTTGCGAGGCCTTAATCGTTCAGAATGCTTGCCTCGGAGAGGATCTTGTTGTTCTTCAAGCCTTTTGAAATCATGTGCCTGACACAGGTCCAGAGACCAGCTTAGCCGACTGGACTCTTGGACAACGCCACCGCCACGGAACACCGGATGCGAAGAAGGCAACACTAAGGGTCGAAAAATGCCCGCAAACAACAAAGCTCACTGCTAGCGAACCCCCGCGCTCCGATGCCCACGCCAACTTCGAGTCCATACTTTGACGGGGAAACATGTGATCTCTGCAAATGCAGATGCACACAGTACATCACGCTGTCATAGCCGCGATGCATTTCCTTACCGTTTCTTGTCTTAGCGTCGCTGATGCCACTGGCCTGTCTTCTTCGGTCTTTTGGTAATCGAACACCTTCTTGTGGCCGGTGATGGCACACCTCAACACAAAGACGGTCGCAATCAGAAGTCGAGTTCAACCATGTCTCCACAGCGCCCTGTCGCACTGCTGCATTCACTGCAGGCTCCCCACTGATCTGGCGGCGTGGAGCCCCTCAGGTGCCGGAAAGAAAGCATGAGATGAGAGAAAGCAGCGTCCGTTCCGTCAAGGTGTCAAATTCCTGCAAGGCCCGAGCTTTCTTTTGGCCATCTGGAGCGCGGCCGACACCGAGCCGATCATTTTGCGAGCCTCTGCTCTTTCAGTGCTGCAGGCCGGTAATTTGCAGACAGTCCACGCACCTTCACGCGGTCGTCTTTCTTCAACTTGGGCTGCATCAGCTTGAGATCCTGCATCGTCTCAGCGTTTCCGCTCTTCAGCCATTGGGGCGATTTTGCCAGCCTCGTACTTCGCCCTTGAGACAGACAATGTGCGGACCTTGGCTCTAAGTCCGTAGCCTCCAGCGTCCTTCCCAATAAGGAGGGGTAGCATCACAAAGTCCAAAAACAGCCAAAACGATCCTCATCACAATCATTACTACTAGTACTGTCGTAGTCGTACTCGTAGTGATACTAGTACTACTACAAGTACAAGTACGAGTACTGACACGAGCACATGCAGCAGCAGCAGCAGCAGCAGGAGGAGGAGGAGTAGTAGTAGCAGCAGCAGCAGCTGCAGTAGTGGTGGTAATAGTAGTAGTAGTAGTAGTAGTAGTAGTAGTAGTAGTAGTAGATGTAGTAGTAGTAGTAGTAGTAGTCGTTGTTGTTGTTGTGTCTGTAATTGGGTAGAAGCAGTAATCGAAGTAGTAGTGGTGGTAGTAGTAGTAGTAGTGGTAGTGGTGGTGGTGGTAAGAGTAAGAGAAAGAGCAGGAAGAAGGGTAAGGGATGAGCGGCAAGAAGTTCAGGCAAGAGGTAAGATGTAAGATGGAGGAGTTGAGCAGCACCAATAGCAAGAGCACGAGGAGTAGAAGCGGCGATAGGAGTAGGAGTATAGAAGAAGCGCGAGTACGAGGATTAAAAATAATGCAGTAGCAGTAGCAGCAGTAGTAGTATCAGCAGCAGCGAGAGTCGTGAGAGTACTACTCGTGGTACTAGTCAGGGTAGCGGCAGCAATCGGCAGCAGCATCAGCCATTCTCGAAGCTTATGCTGCCAAGCGGCGTTCGCACCGGCTGTCAGTTGAGAGCTGGCTTTGGATTGCCCGGCCTTTCATGGTGGAAAGTCGTATATCCAGACAGCACAAGTTCCGAAACTACATGTTAGTTCAGACATACGGAGCTGGAGAATCGCCGAGAGTACTTACGCGCAATGCCCGCATTGTGATGTACACAACAGATGAGCTCGAGGAAGAGGACGATGATGATGACATTTCCGGGTTCCGACAATCTTTGTTCATTTTCGTGAGGCTTAAAGTCTGTGACTGTTGAGAGCTTTTCGGGCTTGTAGTTTCGGGTTTCGCGCAGCGGTGTCTTCGGAGTTGCATTGCCAAAAAATCTAAAAACGTGCTCAGAAGGGTGCAGGCTCACTGGCAGCACGAGCAAACAGGACGGCTATTACCCCTTCCACCTCCCCCAACGCTGGACAGTCATCCATGTGCTTGAACAAAGTACTTGTACAATGCCAAAAGCTTTGCGCCTGTAGGGCTTCTGCGCCAATGTGCTGCCCAGCACTGGCACCAGTCAACACGCACATCGACACAACAGCGTCACAAATGTAATGAAAGCTCGGTACAGACGACACTCGTGACGTGCGTCACCGGCATGAACAGTCGTGCCTCAGGATTCCAGCCGGCTGCGGCACTGATATTTGAGCGCTTCCTCAGGAAAACACATACGCGCCAAGATGAGACTTCGGATCCCTGTTTTTGATAAGTCACTTCCTCAAAAACGCAATTCCAAACTGCAGAACTCTACAACAAAAAACTTGCCCCAGCAGTCAGCAACCCAATGCAGGGCACTAGGTATGTGCTGCTTGGAACCCGCAGGCTTGGGCTGTCCATGCTGTCCGTGGAAATAGTACTACTTTGAATCGCACATGCCCGCGCGTGCCTGAAAGCAAGATGTGCAATCCTTCGATCTCAACACCATAATTCACGATCACCTCCTCCTGCGGACACAACTGGCCGGTTGATACTGGCATGGAAATCATGAGCTCAAACCATCTGCTTCTACTGGGTTCCAGGGCTGACTCCTGCTCGTAAGCACGAACCTGAGAAATCTCGGCCACCTGTCAGCACTTCGCATTGGCTCATGGGCATCTGATCGAGGTCATGCACAGCAGTCATACTGCGGCATGGCTGTCGAGGAAACTGCTGTAAGGTTCACACTCGCTCCAGGTCCTTTTCATCCAGGCTGGCAAACATGGGCACCTGCCTGCTCAAACGCGATGCTAGGAGAACCGGAACCCTGAGGCTCACGGTCTCGACTCGGCGAACCGAACGATGCCGTCGAAATGGACCCCAACAGCAGCGATTGGGTTTGGCAGCATTCCACCCCGTTGTGTTGCAACACTGGGCCAACAGAGTAGGTGACAAGACCCTGCCGGCTGTTTGTGCTTCAGGCCAACCGGCATGAAACTTCAAGCACATGAGTCGGCTACACAGCCGGCCAAGCCCATCCAACGCTATTCACTAGCTCTTCGGGGCGACCCGGAGCAATGTGCTAATCTTACGACATAGGGTTTTCGAGGGTTTTGGATTCAGGCACCGAGTTTCGAGCGTAGGGTTTCGTTGTTTCTACCAGGGTCTTCTCGAGGGGTTGGTGGGGTTGGCGCTGCTAGCAGAACCTGAAGGTGCATGTGCCTGCCTACGCTTCCCTGTGTCTTCTGCCGGAATGCCCGAAATGAATGACCGGGCTTCTTGGTTGGGAGATGTTGGGAGGAAGGCGCGAAGTGGTGTAGCGCTACAAGTCCATGGCGGCAAGCAGATACGGCAGTGCCAACTCTGCTCAAGAATTTGTTGCAGTGCTCCTCGGGGTGCCGAGCCTGCGGGTGCCGCGGTGCCTGTTTGACAGCTTCCGCCAATGACTCCGATTTCCCACACATTCTGTGGGCCGCGGCATAGCACCAATGCGTTAGTGAATGAAACTGCCCTCGTCATGGGCCTGCTCTTAAGCGGGGGGTCCGCACGGGAAGGGGGCATCTTGTCCTCGAGCCCTTGTAGTCTTCGCTCCATATCGCTCCTCATGGAGCTGCATCTGCCTTTTCCTTCCCTGCTTGTACTCCCCACTGCTAAATCCTTCGCTTGCTGACCAAGCTGAACACGGAGCACTCTGCTGCAGCTTTCTGCGGGGTGACAACAGGCGGGTCTGACGTTTCTGCGGACGTAGCTTCTTGAGGCAGTGTTGGCGACCGCCCTAATGCTGGGGGGCTCTCCTCCGAACTGCTCACCTTCTTACATCCGCCTCTGCAGCTGCGCTGATGACTTGGATTGGGAGCAATTGGGGTCGTGGAGGCCCTTTGCTTGAAGCTTTGAGAGTCGACCTCATTGCTTGAAACGAATGCTGGAAGATGTAAAGATCCAGTATTCCCGAACAAGATGTCGGATCGGGCTGACAAGGCCTGCTCACGCCGACCGGCCGAAACACTGCTACCACTGCAGCCTTGCCTCAACTGCTGCAGGGTTTCCTCTCTGCCGAGTGGTGCACCCTGCATTCACCGACAAGTGTGTGGTACATCCGGCATAGAGAAACCGAAGGAGTAACACAAGTCTGTACACACACACACTCACACGCAACGCACGAGCCTTGGGAACCTGTGTCATCTCGGTCACCCTTTTGCCTTGCGTATGTCGAATCTACGCTCCGGTCTTGCAGCTGCCGGCTATTGGCATCCAGACAGCTCTTGGCCCCGCACGATTCTTGCGGCTATGCCTTCGAACGTGCACAACAAGACTGTTTTGCGGAACTGCACTTCTCAGGTCCCTGCTTTATTTCTTCTGTCCCTTGGGTCAGCAAAGGCGGCCGAGCAGACGTCAGAGCTGGGCGACGGCCGGACAACTGGCACTGAGGACTCCACGCGAGTCCGTCTCAGAGTCGTGATCAACTTGTCTAGGAGGTGCCATCGACAGGACTAGGTCAAGAGTTCAGACACACCCACACACACGAAGCTTGATTGCGAAACAAAAGCCAACTTTGCAAATAATGTGACATCGGAAAATGTCCAGCCATCAATGCCCAAACGAGGTTTTGCACGTAAGCTTCCTGCCAGAGTCCGTCTTGACTGGCGCAGCGGATGCTGATGGCGACACCACGACTCAGTAAGATGGACAGCTACATTCAACAACCTGCTGCTTCTACCTGTCTCGAGTCTGCGGCATGAATCGGATGGAACCACTCCATAATCGTCCGGATCCACAAAGGTTGGTGCTTCGTGGGAGAACGAAGGCACCGCGGCAATACCTCACACGTACGGGTCCTGCTATGGGCCTCCGGAGGCTCAAGGGATCGGGACCTCGGATCCGTGATCCCTGAGCCTGAGTTCCGGGTAAGAACTCGCTCCAGGGTCTCGCCATGTCAGGAAACAAGGCTCTGAGTGAAGCCTAAAAACCGCAAGAGAACCTCATAATGCGAACAAGCTAGCTAAGTGGACAAATTCAAAAACGGTACTTTGTCTTCTCTGCAGTTCTTCTTCAGATGCTCCGGAAACAAAGGAAAAGCGAGGCATCAGCATTGCTCCTGGCCCTACACTTGCTTCTGCTGCTGCTCATGCTTACTAGTGCTAGTACTAGAACGAGTACTAGTACAGTGTGCCGGGAACAAATCATTTGAGCAAGCTTGTCGACGCTATCTTGCAATCTTGCCCCACTTGCCCCACAGGGGGTGAGGGGGGCAAGATTGCCAGCAACCTTGGTCAATCTTGGTCTAAAGAGCAAACTAGTCGACAAGCACGTGGGCAAGTGGGGCAAAATGACCAAGATGACCAAGATTGCAAGATGCGCAGAATTGCTGGCATTCTTGCTTTTGACCAAGATTGACCAAGATATGCCAAGATTACCAAAACTGCCAAGACGGTTCCGCAAAATTCTTGTTCTAAATTCCCGGCACAATGTACCAGCAGTAGCGCTTGTACTAGTACTAGTACACTACAGCGCTCCTACTGCTACAACTGCTGCTGCTGCCGCTGCTGCTGCTGCTACTGATACTGCTGTTTCTGCTACTACTAGGACGACTACTACGGGCTGCTGCTACTTCTACGATGACGACTACTACTCCCGCTTCTACTGCTACTACTACTACTACTACTACTTACCACTGCTACTGCTAGTGCTAGTGCTAATGCCACTGCTAGTGCTACTGCTACTGCTACTGCTGCTGCTGCTGCTGCTAGCATCTCGGCTTGCCAG